CAGAACACCGGACTCAAGCGTACATTTACCACTATTGTCAATGGTACTAAAACCGGAGTCAACGGGTCGGCGGCGTCGTCAAGCGCCTCTGGCGACCTGGCCGGGCTCGACCTCAGCGCTCCGTCTGCGCCCCCGCCCAATATGGCCAGTGCAGCTCATCTTACGCCTGACTGGGAACCCGGGTATAATAGACTGTACTTTGCGGATGAAGGCGTGCTCTTCGAGGATGCGCAAATCCAGGTTGGCTTGCGGTCCGAGTATCGTGGCCACATGGGCGTCGTGAAGATTTACATCTCCAACAAATCCTCATTCGCGATTGGATCTCTGACGACCACGCTGGACAACCCTGCAGCTCCAAACCTGAAGATTGATAGCAAGAGTCTCCCAGAGCCTTCTGTTCCGGCCGCCGGTCAAACCCAGCAGACGCTATTCTTTGAGGCTCACGGGCCGTTTAGTGAAGCACCCACCATCCGTATCTCATACCTTGCTGGAGCGCTTCAGGCTTACACCCTGCAGCTCCCTGTGCTGATGCACCGCTACATGGAGCCGTCGACTTTGTCAGCAGAAGAGTTCTTCAAGCGGTGGAGGCAGATTGGCGGTCCACCGCTTGAGACGCAGCACACTTTCGGCGTCACTGCTAAGGCGAAGAACATCAGCGAGGCCTTGACACGTCGACTTGTGGAAGGGTTCCACTGGAAGATCCTGGATAATGTGGATCCCAACCCCAATAACATCGTCGGATGTGCTGTGTACCAGTTCCAGGGCGGGAAGACCGGATGTCTTCTACGACTGGAGCCCAACTATGAACGCAAGGTAGGGATTTTCTGAGCACGAGTCCCCCACACTTTACTGACATGAATTTCCGCAGATGTTCCGGGTCACCATTCGGGCCACGCAAGAAGCCGTGCCGCAAGCACTAGCGAAACAGATGGAGCAGAAACTGGCGCAAGGCGCATCGGACGAGATGTTCGGTTCACGATGAACAAATGGAAATAGCCAACGATGAACTGACATCTGACAAGATGAGGGATGGTCTTATGACTGATTAATAATATTGTCGCTCCGGAGTTTTCTCCAAAGGCGAGATTGCCTTTTGATGTAATTATTGACGCTAGCAAGGTACATATATCCCCGTGGCTTTGAGCGGTATTCAAACTGTACAACATCCTTATTGTATGTGCAATTTTCCCACCGCAAGCTGTGGCATAGCCTGCTGGCCGGTAGACAGGACCTCCTCCTCTGATGCAACGCCCATAGTAATGCAAAAGTCGTAAATCGTCACTTTCCCCACATCATCTACACCACCTTTGCCTCGGACTTGGGCGGCCTCTCACCGAAAATAGTCGTCCCCACCCGAACCTCATCACTCCCCAGCTTGATAGCGCCCTCAAAGTCCTCACTCATGCCCATACTCAGTTCCAGCTCCGCATCGGCACCCTGCAGCCCCAGCTCCCTAACGATGCGGTCCCGCGTCTCGCGCAAACACACAAAATCCTCATTCTCCGTCTCCGGCGTCGTAGCCTTGGACCGCGCAATCGCGCCAATAGTCATCACACCCTGCAGCTTCAACCGCGGACACTTCTCCCGGATGAATCGCGCAAGCGGCACCGCACCAGCCACCGGGTCCACGCCGGCCTTGTTCTCCTCGCCCGAGGTATTCACCTGCACGAACACACGCAGCCGCTCCTCGTGGGCCGCCGCACGCACTTCCTCAGACCGCTCCCCCCACCCTCTATCCAGCAGCGAGGCCTTCTTCTCGCTATCGACGGACTCGACGGCCCAGAGCGCGCGCACGTCCCGGGCGAGCGTGACGCACTTGTTCGACTGCAGCCCGCCGATGAAGTGCCACCGGATACTTGGCGGGAGGAGCTTGGATTTCTCGAGCAGTTCCTGGAGGTAGTTTTCGCCGAAGTGGAGGTGGGTTGTTGGGGGGTTGTGGAGGGCCAGGATATCGGCTGCGGGCTTGAGTTTTGAGACGGCGATGAGGCGGATGGGTTTGGTGGCGGGGCGGTTGGCGTTGAGGGCGGCGGTGCTGACGCGCGAGGTCACGGAGGAGAGGTTTGAGAGGAGGGTTGCTGTGCGGGAGGGTGAGGCGGGCATGATTGTTGTTGATGTTGATGGTGGTGGGGGTTGTGGTTGTTGTTGTTGTTCGGTGGAAGTCATTGGAGGTGGTGTTGCATCAGCTCTTGTTATGGTGTGGTAGGAGTGGTTGCGCAGTGCTGTCTCAGGGTTGACAGTATACCAGGTCTGTATAGGATTAAGAATACGGCTTATAGTGGTGACAACTACCAGGTTCAAAATAGTAGTGACGAATTTGCATTGATATGCGAGGATCGGTGGATGCCGATGGAGGGTTGATGCCTCAGTCATCGAACCCAGTAAGGTACTACCATACTCCGTATACTAAGCCCAATTTGGTTGGACGACGTCTGTCTTACAAGGTAGCCACGTGATGCTCGGTAACCGGCGCCAACGACGAATGACAATCCAGTGTCGGACGCTAAGCCTAAGCCTTTTAGGTACTAGCGTTGTACTCCGTACTGTCAGGGGAAACTCAGCGATTCCGTTTTCGGCGAAATTCTGCAGGTCCAGAACTGACGACGTGATCGTCATCGTCATCACTCTTTTGATTATCAGGAGATGATGATCATTCGGATGTCGGAGTCTGCGCAGGATCTGGCGGATTGGCGGGAGTCAGGACTCAGGACCTCACTAGTGCAGATTTGCAGTGGAATACGACTACGAATCTACCTAACAATCTGGATCCTCAGACTGACACTGAAGTGGTCCAGCAAACCCACAGCCAGATGGAGCGAGACAGTCCATCCAATTTCCGTGGGCTCCATTCATCTCCATTCTATAGATCAATCCTCTGACTGACTGGCTACACTTTTGTATGCCTCATTTTCATTATTCAAGTCAGAGACTCAAACTGAGACAAATGTCTTTGTTTCTCTGACTGTGGTCATTTGATCGGCCTGCTGACAGCCAAGAATTACCCTGCTGCTCGGCATGAGGCGCAGTTGGCTGCTGTGCATTGTTCATGATTAATGGGCCCATTCAGGCGTCTCGAACCAAGCAAAAAGAGGGAATAAAATGTAAAACTCAATCTGAACAGTAGTAGTCCAGCTTCATCTGTCGAAATCCAGGCGCCTAAATCAGCCGCTCACCGGGGGAATCTGACACTGGAAGAAAAGGCGATTGGACCATTGCGCAAGCCAGTAAGCCTTCGTTCCTTGGAGGCAAATATTAATAGATACGAAATCTTGCAGTGAAGGATTTGAATACTAAGTAGATCCAAGAGATATTAGAGGAGCCAAAGTAACCAAGTCATGACCATCTGAAAGTGCTACTACTACAACTCTCCTGTTCCACTGGCGCTTCTTCATTGTATATTGACGTCAGTTACATTCTGTTGCAGTCTTAGCATCATCATCATCATCATCATCATCATCATCATCATCATCGTTGTCATTGCTATCATTTCTTCTGGAAGATACAGGCTGGCCTGCTAAATTATTCCTTTTTCCATTCGCATCCGAATTCTCTGTAAACCTTAACCCACTTGGCTACATTGACGTCCGGGCCTATATATTGAAACACAATCAACCTTGCCGCATTCTTTTTGTGTGCTCTCTTTATAACAAATATCCGCTGGACTATCAATAGTCGGATACTCTGAGCTGGGAATCTCGCAGCGGATAAAGAGAGTTATTGTTATGGCAGCTTTCTGACCATCAGCCATTACAATCACCAACGAGCCGCAATCCTCTTATGATTTGGAATTCCACCGCGCATCCGACACTATACAGCTGAATTCATATTGAAGACAACAATCATCACTAGCATCTGGCTTGTCTTGTTGATCTGACCTGATAACACATCGGAAGTCCGCGGAACGGACTCATCACCACTCCAGATTTCACCTGCTTGAAATCGTCTCGCACCAAGATCAAGAAGAAATCATACAGTGTTCATAGACACTGAATTATCATGTGTCGGCAGTACTATACCCAATACACCTGGTGCCAATGCGAAGAAGACGCAGGTCAGAGTCTCTGCGCCGCTCGCAAACGCAATGACTGTCCGGGTGTCAGCATCGAAACGGTACATATGCAATGCTTCTGCCATCATCATGCCACTAAAGGCTTCAAATCTGAGAAGAAGACCAAGAAGTCGAAGCGCAACTCCGAGAACGGCTCAACGGACAGTTCACTGGAGGAGAAGACCTCAGCGATATCGAGAAAGTGGTACCAATTCCGCGGATTGCGCGCGCGAACCTTCTGAGTCTGGATCTCTCCTATTCATGACGAATTTACTGTATTTTGATGTCAGTCATGTTAATGGTTTATGACTTGGGATCGGTGTTTTTGGGGAGCTCAAAAGAAGCTTGGGGTGTTCTGGAAGGCTGGGAACGGCGTTTCTCTTTTGGGGAAAAGTGATGATAGCATTGATCTCTGTGTCTTCTTCTGTATTCATTTAGAGATGGATATCACGGTCGATAGAGAAAATCTCATGATTCCATTCATTCAGTTGATTATCTCCACCGGGCGACTTCATGTACGCGACTCCTTCGGCATGTGATTGGAGATGGGTTCTGTATCTCTAGAGGATCAGAACAAAATAACCACTGAGCTTGACTTTTCGACTTTGAGGAAATATTTGAGTCTGCTCACGATGAAACATCCCATTATTATGATCGGTTGATCCGTGTCATACTCGGATAACGACAGTCCAATGACAGAAAACGGCGCCCAAGAAGGGGAATGGAAGGGATCGACTGCCCCTTGGCTGGATGAGGGGGAAGAATGACCGTGGCTCGTTTTCCCTCCTTGTTTCGCCCTCGCCTCTTCTCCTTTCGACTTTCCTTCAACTAATCTGCTTCTAATAACTATTATTCAATTGACTGGTATCTCGTCTTTCCTCTGAGAGTAACCGTCGCGCTCATAGTCTCTGTCTCAGCAATTGATTCACGTTCAAATGCCACTTCTATCGCCATCATGGACCCCTCCATGCGCGACGAGCCTCCCCAGGCGACATTCACTGCACCACCTTCCACACCCAACCCCAACGATCTAACCAATAGTCTGAATCGTTTGACAATTGCTTCTGCCACTGCGACTCCTCTTCCAGCCTCTCCATCCGCGTTATCCCCGTCTTCGTTACTGTCGCCTCCGGATGTCCCCGCGCGTTCTGTTGTTGATCAGGCGCATCCTGCACCGCGACGAACTACCAGTTCCAATTCTCTGAGAGATGAACGAGATGAACGAGGGAAATCCACCTCCAGCCTGAAAAAGCGATCATCGACCGCGTCGCTACGATCTGCGCACAATAGTGCAGGCGCAACTTCCCCTCGTCCCAGTCTGTCGCGACGCTCTTCTTCCTCCAATTTCGCGACATCTCCCACCTCCACATCGAATATGTTGTCCAAAAAACCCCAGGAACAAGCTGCGCCCACCGCGGCTTCTGTTGCCGCTGATTTCTTCCAACGAGAAGTCGACTTGCACCAATCCACAGACCTCCATTCCAAAGCCGTGGTAGTCGTTCATGACGCATGCTACGGCCATCGTTTCTCGCGACCTCGAACCTCGAAAACCGCCTTAAGTTACATCGTCGAACGGCCTGAGAGAATACAAGCGTGTGTGGTGGGAGTATCTGCAGCTTATGTCCTCATGGCCGGCCGACATGCTGGGAAGCGCTTTGTGCCTCATCCTGATCTTGATCTACATCAGCTTCCCGCGCCGCCGTTCCAGATCCGCAAGACGTCGCGAACTCTGCCGCTCAATTCTGCGGCTGTTACCCATGTGCACGGGACCAAGTGGATGGATGAGCTGAAAACCATGTGTGACGCGGCAGAATCAAGACTCGCTCTGAATGGTAAAGAGTTGGTTCGGCCGCGCAGCTCGGGGAAGGACGGCGAATCTGTCAAAAAAGCTCCGCTCAACGACGGCGACCTATACCTTTGCTCCGAATCCTTGAATGCCTTTGAGGGCGCCCTCGGCGGAGTCTGTGAAGGCGTCGATGCCGTCTTTAGCTCCAACACTACTAAAAGAGCCTTTGTCTGCATTCGACCCCCTGGTCATCATTGCTCTACCTCCCATCCGTCCGGATTTTGCTGGATCAACAATGTACATGTGGGAATAACCTACGCTGCCATGACCCATGGCCTGACCCATGCTGCTATCCTGGATTTCGACCTGCATCATGGCGACGGTTCGCAAGAAATTGCATGGGAACAGAATCAGAAAGCAGTGTCGGCAGTCTGGAATGCAGCCAACCACAAGAAAACGAGGGTCGGCTACTTCAGCTTGCATGACATCAACTCTTTCCCTTGCGAATATGGCGATTTTGAGAAAGTGCGGAACGCTAGTGTGTGCATCGATAAAGCCCACGGTCAGTCGATTTGGAATGTCCACTTGGAGACGTGGAAGACCGACTCGGAGTTCTGGGATACCTATGCCGCCAAATATACCATACTGTTAGAGAAAGCGCGCGCTTTTCTACGTCTGCATACCGAACGCCTGCTTGATAGCGCGCCCGGTGACACTCCGCCAAAAGCGGCAATCTTCATTTCCGCAGGTTTTGACGCGAGTGAATGGGAAGGTTCCGGTATGCAGAGGCATAAAGCGAATGTACCCACCGAGTTCTATGCAAAGTTCACCGCGGATGTTGTCCGGATGGCGGAGGAAGAAGGGCTAGGAGTAGATGGGCGTGTCATCAGCGTCTTGGAAGGGGGCTATAGTAATCGAGCATTGACCAGCGGCGTCCTCAGTCATCTCGCGGCGCTGGGAGACACAACAACGATGTCGGCCGCCATCAACCATGAGCGGCAAGTCGGTCTGGCTTCCGAGATGTTTGATCGCTTGCATGTATCAGACAGCAGCAATGCTGCAGCTGAAGCACGGCGCACCCCATCTCATATAGGTTACGATAGTGAGTGGTGGGCGCCAACAGCACTTGAGGAGCTGGAGGCGCTTGTCTATCCACCTCCTGCCGCGGCGTCAAAGTCAAAGTCTGCTCGCACCTACTTTGCACCAACGCAATCTTTCACTGCCAAAGTCGTCACTCCCCCTCGAGATCGAAAATCTACTGGCTCACAGACGGGCTCGGATGTTGTACCCTTGCCAGAGGTAGGCTGGGCTACAGCGGCACACGAACTATCCAAAATCCTTATTCCCAGCCACCGTCAAACCACGAGTTATCGTCCGGAAGAACTTAATGCAGAAGCTTCACGTATTCGGCGGGAGCGTCAGACCGCTGTGGCTGCCGCCCAGAGGGCCACTAACGCAGCATCAGCAGCACCAGAAGGAAATCGGATGCAGCTACGTACGAGAAAGCCCAAAGCTTCTCTGCCTAGCATCCCAAAGGTGGAGACCCCAAAGAAACAGGTTCCGAAGAGCACTCGGAGGATTACTATCGACCCTGGCGACCTGCCGAGTTCAACTACCGGTAGCTCGCCTGGTGTCAGGACAACTCGCAGGAAGAGCACAACGCCGGTCGCCTCTAAGCCTCCGGGTACAGCCGAGTCTGGCCCAAAGAATTCGAGCTCGTCGAATGCTGGGGCAAGCGAAACGCCCGTACAATCAAGCATGGCCGCGAGTAATCGCCCTCTGGAGTCTACTAGCACCCGCAGGTCGAGTACTTCGTCACGCTCCACTGCTCTCAAACGATCTGAGAGTCCCAAGGTGCCTCCTGTACCACGTGTGCCGTCTGGTTTTCTCTCAAAACCAGCCACTGGCGATGATCAGAAGATCGTTTCGGACGCAACACAGGCGGCAGTGACCGAGAAGACGGATTCCAGACATGTAGATTTGGACGATTTGGCAGCTGGCGTGAAGAAATTGAGCATCAAGTTGAAGGTGCCTTCCCCTGAAGAACACGCCGCTCGCGAGAAAGAGAGAAAAGCCGCCGAGGAACGTCAAAGACGCGCTCCCAAGCCGACAACATCCAAGATGCCTAGATCCTCCAAGAAACCCTCAAGCATCACCGCGACCTCGCATGCTTCTACTGCCAGAGGGACTTCTCACCCCTCGCCGAGCCCTAGCATCTCTCAAATGCCTTTTGGTCCAAATATAGCCAACTTCGACAGGAACATGGATCAAGTGAAGCAAGAGAGCCCAGGAAACGCAGCAGAGGAGCTCATTGCATCGTCTCCTGACCCGCTGGTGGAACCTGAAATGCCGCGCTTGAGCAACGTCGCTATTGATCGCCCTCGCTGGGAAAGACCCAAGGATGTGTCAGTATCTGGTTCTGCCCCGATGCAGGAGCCTTCCTCTGGCACAGCAACCTCGTCCTTGTTGGCTTCAGGATCCCTGCCCGCTCGATCTACGGTATACTCACCACCAACAACCGCGCGTCAGACAATGAATGGACTTTCCTTCCTTACGTCCAGTGGCCCTATTCCTTTTGCGGCGGCAAGCACTGTTCCCAAGGAGAACCAGACTTTAGTTATGCAGCAGCCAGGGCTTTTCAGTCACAGTGATAATGCAGGGACTAGTCCTCTGGACCCTATGCATGATCAAAACCATAAACCCAAACATTGATTCATTTCGATCTTTGAATGTCTTTCCTTCTCTTCCCCACCCCGTTTCCATGTGCTAACTTTGACAGTCCTTTATGTTATGCAATATGCCTTTCTTTGTTGATTTAATCTGTTATGTTTGAATATACCCCCTGAGTTGTATCGAGTTTGTTGGTTCTGTCTTAACTAGCCGTTCTTCCCTTTTATCTTTTCACCTGTGAAGCTAAGGATACCGTCCTCATGAAAATCGATTGAATTCAAAGAGTATCTTCTTCATGCATTATTATAAGTCTAGTACCTGTGAATCATCAGCGTCTGCCTAATAATGGCCAAACAGTTGGAGAGGATTACCACAAGAGGAACAAATAACACGATGCTGCTTTCCTTATCTCCGATCTCCGGATCAGATAATCAGCGCCACAGCCACACTGGAATCTTCTTCTCCGCGTTGCTGCGCCTCATCTGACTGCTGACTGCTGACTCAGGCACTTTTCTCCGCATGTTGCCAGTGCCTTCTAGCGCCATCTCTTGTTGCGCATTATTCATCCTTACTCTCTTTACTCAGATATAATCAAGTCGCTCTCTTTGTCGTTTCCTTTGGTTTATTCTGTTCTGAAAGTGTTTCCCCATCATGTCACCCATCAGCGTCTCCAAAGGCCGGACACCCAGCCCGAACGCCCATGAATCCTTCACGGAAATGGCCGATAAGGACCTAGAGTCCATCGGCCGACACTGCCAATTCGAATACTGCCACCAACTCGACTTCCTCCCCTTTCGCTGCGAATCCTGCCGCGGAACTTTCTGCCTCGATCACCGCACCGAAACCGCCCACCGCTGCCCCAAAGCCGGCGAATGGGCCCGCCGCCGCAACGGCAACCAGAACACCAGCACACCCACCCTTCCCACACAGAAACCCACGATCTACAACTCAGACCAATGTGCACACCTAGACTGCAAGACACTCATCAACACGATGAAAGACCCCGGCGTGCGCTGCCCAAACTGTAATAGGCAGTATTGTCTGCGGCACCGGCTACGGGAGGAGCACGATTGCGCGAAGGTCGCGCCGCTGGGGGCTCGGGCCGGCAACCAGGGCCCAAGCAATGCAGAGACGATCCGGTCGATGTTTGCGCGGGTACGTACGTGGGGGAAAGACAAGGGACAGTCGCTGGCGCCGAAACCCAAGGCCAATAGCGCGGCTGCGCGGCTCTCGGAGCTGAATGCGCTCAAGAAGGCAGCCAAGGGGGATGCAGGGGTCCCGGCTGACAAGCGGCTGTATCTGCACGTGGTTGGGACGGCGGATGCGCAGGCGCAAAAGGCGGAGCCGCCTTCGGGGGATTTTTGGTTTGATTCGAGGTGGAAGGTTGGTCGGGTGCTGGATGATGCGGCGCGGAGGTTGCGGGTTGAGAATGTGAATAATCGGGCTGGGGAGGAGGAGCGGCTGCGGATCTTTCATGTGGATTCGGGGGAGTTTTTGGAGTTTTCGGAGACTATTGGGGGTGGGAAGGTGAAGCAGGGTCATACTATCGTCTTGTTGAGAGGGGCCGGGGTTGTTCTGGGGAAGTCGTGAGGAGTGATCCGCTGCGTTCGTTTCTTCTGGATATTCTGCCATCTGGAACTGCATATTTAGCATATGATACACCGAGAGCGTTTTGGATACCTTTTTACATATCTCCCTGAGCCCAGGCGTATTGGAGTCGTCCTTAGATGTCATGCACAGACGTATCTTTATTCAAATCAAGAATCTAAGCTCTACGAGGTCAAACGCTCATGTTCATCTTGATAGCCTTGTGAGGCTGGTACCCAATGACCTCAAACTCCTCCTCCTTCCACCCATCCACAACTCCACTACCGCGATCATCACGTTTGATGCGCAGTTCCGGGAACTCGGTAGGCTCCCGCTTGAGCTGCTCATTCAGCGCGTCGACATGGTCCAGATACACATGGGCATCACCCATGGTATGAATCAGAGTGCCCGGGTTCAGATCCGTCGCATGGGCCAGTACATGCGTCAACAGCGCATATGACGCAATGTTGAACGGGACCCCAAGTCCCATATCGCAGGAACGCTGGTACAGCAGACACGACAGACTCCCCTTCTCGTCCAGCCCATTCGGATACGAGACATAAAACTGCGCAAACATATGACAAGGCGGGAGAGCCATCTTCTTCAGATCGGCCGGGTTCCACGCGCTCATGATGATGCGACGGTCAAAGGGCGTTTCTTTCAGCTTGCGCACGACCTCAGCGAGCTGGTCGACGCCTTGACCGGTGTAATCGGTCTTCGCGTCGGCGTACTCCGCCCCGAAATGCCGCCATTGGAACCCATACACGGGGCCTAGATCGCCGACCTCGCGGTGTCCGAGCCCGACTTTGTCCAGGAACTCGCGGCTCCCGTTACCGTCCCAGATTTTGATGCCTGCTTCTGAGAGGGGGATGGAAGAGGTACATCCGGAGATGAACCAGAGGAGTTCGGCGATGACGGCGCGCAGAAACACGCGTTTGGTGGTGAGGAGGGGGAGGACGGGGATCGGGTCCGAGGAGGGTGTAGCACCAGGCTTGGAGAGCGAGAAGCGCAGCTGGGGTGGTGCGAAGATCGAGCGTGTGCCTGTTCCTGTGCGGTCGGGACGATGCTCGCCTTCGGCGAGGATGGTGCGGATGAGATTGAGGTACTGGTGTTCCTCGTGCGCGGGGTTGTGAGGAGTCGGTGTGCCAGATTGGCTGGGAGTATCTTGCGGTGTCACAGCTGCCGGCGACATGATGCTTACCCTTTGAGTTGAATTGTAATGGTGATTGAGGTGTTTCGTTGTCGACATTGCTTGCGGAGGATCTTTTTGAGCCACGCGTAAACGCGACGCGCGCGCTCACGTGATGATAACCAGATTATCAGGCTACAATTACATAAGTTCCCAATTTGGTAATATTGCTATAGGAGTACGGCAGTTGTACCAAGGTGTCAAATGATGCTTGACACCAGTCTTAAGATCTTGTGGTATGGAAAAGGATGCTCTATCAGCAAGCACGCTAGTCTGCCAGCAGGTCAACTCCAACACCGCGCAGCGCAGTGACAGCCCACTCCGGGAATTTCGCTTTATCCCCATACAGATTGTCGAAAAATTCGCGCAGAAATGCTGGAAATCGATCTTCTAAAATGGCCTGGCGAACAGATCCCATTAGGGAAAGCAAGTAGTGAACATTATGAATGGTGAGACTGTTGAATAATTAGCACTAGCATCCCCCGGATGTATGAAGGGAAGTCTCACAGATGAGCTCCAACCGTCTCTTTGGTAGCCAGGTGGTGGATATACGCTCGCGTAATCCCCAAGCCGCCTTGTTCTCTGGGCCGGCAACAGGAGCAGTTGCACCCTTCCTGTACGGGTCGGAAGTCCTCGGCAAACGACTTATGGCGTAGGTTCATGGTGCCGGAAGGAACCACAGCATTTCCGAATCGCTATCAATGGTCAGTTGGAACTTGGGTCTCAAATGAGTTCGTGGGGTTATCCTTACGGCCGTTCTCGTTGGCCATACACAATCGAACATGTCTGCACCAAGTGCAACTGCTACAACCAGATCTTCCGGATACCCCTGAGCAGCGTCAATAAAAAAAGACTTCCCCTTGGAGGGGGAAAGTTAATACTTACCACTCCCATCACGTATCTAGGCTTATGCTCTGGAAGGAGTCCAGTGCACGTATCCACCCTATAACTATCAGCCGAACGTAGTCAGTGCCGCATTGACGCCAACACATACACTTTACAAAACTCCTCCTTTGCTTCACCACCTGATAGACCTCCAATGGCAATACCCGGTGTATCTCGCGCAACCATCTCAGCGCAGCACTGCCTCCGTAGCTCTAGGTCTAGACCGCCTTGAATGATACAGAAAAGGTTCTGTCTCTCGGGGTACTTGTGCGCATCGATACAGCGGTCTAACCATCGAACGGACCGTTCCATAGCCTCGTGAATCCTGGCATGATCGGGAGAGGTAGTTGCGATCACGTCGTCCAGTTGCATGATAATATCTGAGCCGATCGAGTTCTGTAACGAGATCGAATGTTCTGGTGTGAGTAGCCTAGAAAGACCCATTATCAGTGGGATCCCTTGAGACTCCGAATCGGCAAGGACACACACATCGGAGTACCATCGTGGGGACTGAGGAATCGGACACCTTCCTCGGTGACCTTCGCGAGCTTCAGTAGAGAAACCATCTGAAAACTATGTATTACAGGCGTCAGTGTCAGATCAGAAAAGAGAGAGACATAGCTCACCCGCCGCTATCTGTCAGGATATTCCGATCCCATCCTTGCAGCTTATGCGCCCCGCCTACTTCGTCTAGAACTTCCTGTCCCGGTTTCAGACCCAGATGGTATGTATTATTCAAGCACAGCATGCAGCCTGTCTGCTTGAGCTGGTCATACGTGAGTCCCTTGAGGGACGCCTGTGTCGCAACCGGCATAAAGATGGGAAGCGGCACGGAGCCATGAGGGAGATGGAGGGTGCTAGCGCGCGCTTTGGTTGTCTACGTTTAATTACCTGATTAGATCAAATTCAAAAATACCAGAAAATGTGTGATAGTGAGATACATACTGAGCACTTTTTATGCAGATCAAAAGTCAATGCAGATGGCATCTTTCTGCGCGGAGGGGTAGCTTCTGTCGACATGTTTGCAATCTGGGAGCTGCGCAGGGCTGGATTGGAGTATAATTTTGACACGACACGACCGTTTCTACTTTTTAGAACACTATGATAGAATTCACTGCTCAAATAATATGCAGGACATTTCATTGAGAAAGAAAGGGTAGAAGATCGACGCACAACAGCAGAGAGATGCAACAAAATCGCGATTCAATCATTACCTATCGATAGATAAAGATTGGCGCTAACCCAACTGGGCAAAATTCGAAGCTGTTCTCGCGACCAATCAGATTGATCGTTGCTTTCTTCTCCATATTCCAAAGATACATGCGGATTGCATTGTGTTTTCCCAGCCAGAGTCCAAGGATAGAAGAATTGCCGGGCCAGCCGGGGTGAAGGATTCAAAGTTCTTCATGGTGCGCCGACGAAAGCTATGCCTGTCCTAGTTTGTCTCCGCACAATGTAGACGTCAAGCCTTCCGGCGCCAACTGGTGAGTCTGTGCAAGCGATTGAAACCATGGCAAACCATAATCCAAATCATCTTTTCAGAGTGGAAAGTGAGAAAACTGAAACACAGAGCGAGTGAGAGTGGCCATCAGAGATCTCAGCTGTTTACCTCACAAAATCTTGGAAAGGACGCGGACGAGCTGACGACACACTACAGCGAATTGAGCCAGTACCAATGGCGATAATCTGCAGACTTCACATCCCTGCGCTGTGAGAACGGCCAAGTTTAGATTGCGGGATTGTTAGCATTATTTCGTTTCCAAGCTCAGTTGTAAATGCTAGGCTGGATACGACTCCTATTTCTCTCTCGTGGCTCCAATAATGTCCGTTCTGTCAACGCCAATGTCAACACACACCTGCCGATCTATGCCTCGTCATGGTAGTAACCAATCATTGCCACTGTACTGTGTACCTTTTAGGCATGATTAACCATCTTCGGTCATAGCCGTCGGAGGTTCACCGACATCGCGGAAGCACCAGATCCCATTTTCTTCAAACGGGGTTACCCCAGGATGCGGAGCTCTGTTACTTGTGCGGGGGCTCCAACATATTCTGCCAGACCCAAGCGTATAAATATGCTCAAAGGAAGAATTGCTTCTCAAAAGCTTGTTCATTGCCCCCCCGGCTCTTTGGTTGTCTAGCTCCGCGAAAATGAGCGAGCAAGAGAAACACCACCACGGCGTGGAAGATACTCGCGATCTTGAGATTGCGTCCGATGTATGCGCCGTGGATTAAGCATTCGAGTTGTAGCTGTTATTGCTAATTGTTAACCACAAGGACGTTCACGAGCAGCATTCTGATGCATCATATCGCAGTCCTCGGGAGAAAGCACTGGTCTGGAAACAAGACTTGCGCATTGTTCCTCTATGTGCAGCGATCTACCTCCTCTGTTATCTAGATCGGTCTAACATCGGTAAGCATGAATCTGGCTCTTGCTCAGTGAATTCTCATCTTGATTGGCACAGGGAATGCAAAAATCCTCAACCAAGATACGCACAATGACCTCCTGAACGAGACTAAGATGACATCGTATCAATACACGTGGGTTTTGTCCGGAAAGTTCGACGACGCTCAAGCGTACTGACATGGGCTAGGATTGCCCTTATGGTGTTCCTCATTGCTTATGCGCTGTTTGAAGTCCCTTCGAATTACTTGTTGAAGAAGCTGAGGCCGAGTGTATGCCCCGAGAATCTTGTGTTTGAAATGAGAAACTTATGATGAAATCTAGAGATGGATTGCGTTTCTGATGCTGTCATGGGGTGCATGCACAATGGGCTTGGGAGGAGCCCATAACTACGCTCAAGTCACCGGCATCCGTTTCCTGCTAGGAGGTATACCCTCTCTCAAGACCAAGAACTAAATTTAGGAAATGACTGACAGCCGTCAGTAATGGAAGCGGGACTCTTCCCTGGCCTGGTCTACTACCTGACCTTTTGGTATCGACACTCCGAGCGCTCCATGCGCGTTGCGTTGATCCTCGCATCCGCTACCTTAGCCGGCGCCTTTGGCGGTGCAATCGCATACGGCGTGGGTCACATGAATCGGGCCCATGGACTATCTGCATGGCGATGGCTTTTCATCATCGAGGGAGCACCCTCCTGCGCTTCAGCGTTTCTAGTCTGGTTCTTTCTTCCCGATTATCCCGAATCAGCTCGTTGGCTCACACAAGAGGAGAGAGACCTTGCCGCTCAACGGCTGCGAACAGAAGGCTCCAAGGGAGAAGCCAAAGCCATGACCTGGGGGGATGCTAAAGCCGTGCTAACAGATTGGCGTCTCTACGCACACTATGCCGTCTGTTACCTGTTCTCAGCCTACTATTTTTCCCACAACTAATGCCTCTCAACAGGTTTACTTCGGCATATCCGCCCCCTTTTCCAGTCTTTCTCTCTTTACCCCCGCCATCACCAGCGGTCTCGGGTATACCAACCTCCGCGCACAGCTCATGACAGTGCCTCCATGGGCGGTAGCATATGTCGTGACAACAGCCGCAGCCTGGTCCGCAGACCATTTCAACAGGTACAAGTCCTCGCCTCAGCACCTGCCTCACAACGCACACTAACAACCTACCATCAGCCGTGGCCTCCATTCCGCCCTCTTCTCCTTCATCGGCGCCATGGGCTTCCTAGCATCCGCCGTCCTGCCACCAGACGCTTACATAGTACCCTCCCCCCTCCCTCCGCAAACCCTACAGAAATGCCTAACAAGAGTGAATTAGCACCGCTACGGCTGCCTCATCGTCGCCACCAGCGGCGCCTTCGCCTGCATCCCCCCGCTCCTGGGCTGGCTATCCTCCAACCTCCGCTCCACAGCCGGCACCGGGCTAGCAATAGCCCTGAACGTCTCCTTCGGCGCACCGGGCCAAATCGTCGGCGTGTGGATTTACAAAGCTAACGAAGCGAAGAGGGGGTATCCGACGGGCCACTGGACCAACGCTGGGTTACTCCTGTTTGTTTGTGCGGGGTGCATCATGCTCCGATTCTATTACGGGTGGTTGAACCGTAAAGACAGAGGAAGTGGGAAAAGATTTGCTTATTGATGGTTTCATGTTGATCTCATTTCCTTCTCTAGACAAGTTTTGGGGGGAAATATCATATGCAACCTTGTAGTAAAGCGAACCTAACGCGAAACTCGAACACAATCTAATCAACCTATAGACTTAGCCGTATCCAAGTTGGCCATGACCAGTTGGCGAACGCCAGCGGAATCGATGCGTCCGTTGGTCAGCACGTGAACACTGGAAAATTTAAGGTTAAGCTCATGTCATGACATGGTGCAACCAAGGATACGGAACGCTGTAACCGTACTTTATTTAACACCGTGATTTCCAGCTGGACAACGAACCCGCACACCCCATTAGTGCATAAAATAGCCCTTCTATGAAGAGTCACCAAGTCCCCAACAGATGTTGAAAGTTCAAGAAGGTAAGGCAAGACGGGAACAGAAAGTGGACGGGAAAGATAGGAAACGGGAGTCCTACTGTCTACTTTCATGGCTCAGAACTGGCACGTGCCAAAAAGACGAAGCCATTTCCCCCTAGATGGTTGATTCGCAAGAATAAAGTGTTCCCGGCCCGTTTGGTGCTGGTGGAAGCCAGTGCGGCTAGACCCGCGGACTCAAGGAGCAAATGGCAGGGCCTGTCTTAGGTATGATTGTCACAAGAAACATACACAGGAGCTGGAAATACCACAAAATTCCAAAATTCAAAATTTCGACAGCAAGAATTCAAAATGCACGCAATGAAATAAGATTCGAGTATCGAATTTGTCCGTCACAGTACTGTCGTCATAATATCGTAACAAGGTCTCCGTTGTGCGGGTGCCTTGCGAAAACTGAAAGAAAATAAAGGAGGATTGTACAGGAAAGGTCGATGAGTCGGAAAGAAAAGCATAACCTAACCGCTTGTGATAGAGAGTGTACAACCAAAAGAACCGAGCAAGATATGGCAGGGGCTGGGGTTCTGTAGTCCTGTAGAAAGAAGTTGTGGCGAACGGAAACGTTCGTTTTCCGATTGTCCACCATCTTCAACATCGTAGTCATCGATGTGTCCCAGTGCTTGATGCAGGATATTGCACAAAGAAGAATGTCGACAGCCGAGAATGTTGTACATAACGTCTGCGGAACCCGAAGATTCAGGCATCAAGTCGGAAATGCGTCGTACGCGGTCATAGGGGCGAAAAGAAAGAGGAGGGGAGAAAGGAAGGCGAGTAATCGTTCCAGCCCGAGTGGACCAGACAGAGAAAGGAAAGTAGTGCTCAACCGTATCAAGCCCATTGGATCCCACTCTATCTCGGCCGTATTTGCTCGCCTGCTACGGCCAAACCTTCCCAGGAAGATTATCACGGCGAGCTTGCGGTTGCTGTTGGTAAGTTAAGTGCGTGAAAGCTACCTCGGCAGCGTCATGTTTGGCGTTGTTTGTGTAGTTGCCATCGTACCAGAATCGCGCGGAGTATGATTTATCTTGTACCCTCACAGAGCAGCTCCAAGCCGTCCGACCTCCTGATTGAAGACATAAAGCCGTTAGCACTTGGTACAACAAGCTGCCAGGTTTAAAAGTCGGTGAAGGAAAAGTTACTCCACAATCCAGATACCGAGACACACAGTGGGCACCATTCAGTTCACGCAAGGGTTGATTTCCGGGAAGAGGGATAGATGAGAAGATGCAACGCAAAGGAAGAATATACTCTCAATCAGGACCTTTGAAAGAAAGAGCAACGAGAGGAGCGAGGGGGTTCAGTTACCTCGACGATCGGAGAACAATGTGAACACAGGATTTCCAAGGCCTGCAGTCTTGCAATGCTCTGCAGGATGATAGAGTCTGGAATTAGTCCCGCGAACGATAAATCATACGGCACATGGACGATTTCTTCAGGGAAATTGTAGTTCAAGTGGGGCGTACTCTCAAGTTGCTCTATCCATTCAACCTTCCGACCACCATTTCCTTGCAGGCTAGTCGAGGTCATGTTGAAGTGGTTTTCTTGTCAAAAAATAATATGATTCTTAGCGGTATTGGGTCCCTTGACAGCCACAATAATGAGGGCTGAAATTGAAGAAGATTAAAGGCACGCAAAAGCTTGAAGAGAAGGACGAAGTCGGTAAGAAAATTTGAGAATATCAAGAGCCAACAACCTTTCCGGAGAACTTTTGCCCAAGAAGGGGCAACAAGTGCCAACACGAATAGAGACGGTTTCTGGAGGGCGAAGATGAATAAAAAAAGAAGACCCTAAGAAGCAGGATCAATTGAGTCGAGAGATTTCTGTTCACTTTTGATATAAGTCGATACCTTTTTTGAATTTTCTCTTTCCCACCCAAATAGCCCTGATGGACATGGGAAGCGGGGGGTCATATAAACTGTGGGCCATGCTTGACCCCAAATCGCTTTTTTTTTTTTTTATTTCCCTGCGCAAGCAAGACAATTTTGGCGTGACAAACACGGAGCCTAACCATGAAACCTAACAGTCGGGCTTATGCATGTCGCTGGGGGCAAGCTACAGCGTCAGCAACCTCTCCGCCCTCCCTTATCCTCCAGTCAAAAGACCGCCAGTTGCATGGAGAACATGCGGATCATTTTGAGGCTGCAAAGCTGGAACGGCCCGGCGCACGCCGACTGAGAATGCACCCTGAAGAAACGCCAGTTACCAAGAAAAAGGTGCCACGGAGCTCCACCCAGACCAGATCCATTTGATGACAAGGATCGGATGGCGCAGAGGCAAAAGGAACAGCTGTGGCACAAGGAAGCCAGTTCACAGATCCGAAGCCTTTGAACAACTCAGACATCTCGTCTCCTTCTCTTGCCTTGACACTTCCTCCCTCCCCTTTCCTTTCGTTGATTCCCGCAAGCATTGCTCCTTATCGGGCATGAAGAATCTAGACGCCTCGTGGACGCTTCTCCAAGGACAAAAAGGAGGAAGCCCCTCCTTCTGGAAGGACCAGATAGTGGAGGGGGTTGTTCAGTCGCCCAAAAGCGGAGAGGGGCTCCATAGGAGCAGAAGCGACGAATTGAAGTCAGGATCTGCTCACATCAGCCAGTAAGGCCACCGTAAAGATCGAAAGCGGGCCCAGAGACCACAATGCCAGCTCATCAATGATTCAATCATGAATCTGGACCGAGGGACTTTTCAAACACATCGTTCCTGTCAGCCCTGAAAACGAATGGCCATAAACCGGGCCGCTCTGCATGAACAGATGCCATGGGGACATGGGTTGCAGATAGGTAAGAAGCAACAGCAGAGAAAGAAGACAAGGGCGCTGGAGATATCCCGGCAGGAACGTCAAACCCAAAAAGGCAACGCCTGATGGAACGTCCCAGCTCGTGCGGTTAGAGCAGCCCTTTTGCATGGAACACAGCTTTGCCAGCGAAGAGAGACATCTATTGGGCTCAAAGTTGACCCAAACTGTCTGCCGAAGAGGAACCATCATGATTCGTTGCTTTCTTCTGGCACCATATTGGGCATACATACGTGCATCCTCATGTTGTTCCTCATCGCCGTCAACTACAGAACATCAATAAATGACAGCGATTTCTAGAGACGAAGCGATGCGCGCGGTAGGGAGTCGCGGGCCACAGAATTATCAAGCACCTGCATAAGAAGCTAGATGCCATCATCTATCATAGCACCGGGGGAAGTTGAATCGCTTCCACGAGCTCACGGAAGGCCTATGGCGACGCCGTTTGATTCGATGGAATAAAGGGACATTGACGAGCCTCGATCTGCCCCGCATCGCCCGCAGGACAAGCTTAATTGGAATCTGTCCATCGCTGGGAGCTATCGGCTGTTATCTCGAGCATTTTCACCAATAGAGGAAGAAGAAGGAACGAGCAAAATGAGAAAGGAAATGAAGAAAAAAAAAAAGAAAAAAAACGACTTCCTTCAGTTGCGGGATGAAGCCTGGTCCAATCATTCCAGCCTTTCGTAGAAGTACCGTCCTGTCCAAGGTACCTTACATTGTAGGGAGTTAAGGAGGAGGTGGTGAGCTTCGGAACATCAATCCCATGATTTCACTCCTCTCTCTTCGCCCCTTTTTTTTTCTCTGGCTCCTCATTCCACACATTCTAAGCAGATCATTCGCGCTTCATCTTGATCCTAAGCGCTGGACTGGCCCACCACGGGGTCGCTACTCGCTAGTGAGGCAGACGGCTACCACGAACCATGGTTCCTGTACGTTGCTACGGAGCAAGTAGGACTGACTCGTTTCAACGCAAACTAATCAAGATCCCATGCACCCATCATCTCCCCTGTCACAATTCAGACAGACTATGGAACAGCTATCCCAAAAATATCCATGCCAGCAATCATATACACGTTGATCATACTTCCAAAAAAGAAATGAAAGGGGGTCATCCGACCAAGAGTCGGCCGACAAATGTCAACACAGCGAAGACTTGAGGCCGCAGAGTTTCCGTTACACATTCAAGAGACGACGACAACAACTAACAAGCAGGTCGGGCTGGGATCCTCGTCGCCAGCGAACCAGATACACGCAAATGCAAGGAGGTCCAGGCTGAAAATGGCAGCTGTCAGAAAATCAGGCATCATTATCCAGATTCATCACTGTTGTGAAGGAGTTGGTAGAAGGCTTCGCGCCACTGCACGTCGACACCACGAGAGGGGTCCTCGCTGACGTACGAGTCAGGCTATTGTGAAAGCGACTTGATCCAACTTCTTTCGCACGTCCTTCACATATCCATTAGAATCAGGCGGATCCACGCCGGTGAAACACTTGATCAATAAGTCGCATAGGCCCCATCAACTCAATGCTTTTTGCGAAAGATGATTTAGCCGGTTGAGTGGACGCGGTATGACGCTTCGAGTGCCATCGCTGCCGGATGCAGTCATCAACTAGAACAATCAACCCTGTAGCTACGATCACGCTGCAAAACGATCAGCACAAGGTCCATTTCAGACGAAACTTGTTCTTGTCATTGAGAGGGGGGAAGTCCGGCTTACTCGGCAACTTCATGCATTTTCTCGTACACGGATGAATCGCTAATCCACATTGAGGACGGAGGAACCCAACCACCCTTGCTCTCCTCCTCGACAGCTTCCACTGGCGTGAGGATTTCGGGCACGATGTGAGCGATCGCCTTGGACGTCCGCGTGTTGATGAGGTGGTAGGACACTTCCCGCAAATCTCCTTCTTTCCTGCACTCTTTCTTCCATTGGTATTTAGTGGACCAATACACAAACTCGTACCGCTTGGGCATCCCTGCGCTTCGCCTCTTGACCTCTACATGCGCATAATTAGAAAACTCTAGCAACGTTGTATCT